CAATGCCTAGTACCGAATGGGAGCTGAATAATTACTTGTGAAATCAATGAATGGAGGCATTTGCCAATTTTGTGACATGTAGGTGATCTGCGGCATTATTATGATTTCTGGTGACTTTGTAAAGATTTCCTCTGGCTCCAGGAATTTTGTTTATTTCAGGTGGTCAGAAGTTCCAAATTTTAATCTTTTCCTCCTCTGAGCAGTGGTTCTTAGACTTCAGTGTGCATCAGAATCGCCTGATTAGTTCTGAGGCAGAGCCTGGGATCTGCATCGTTAGCAAGCATCTGATTGGGAGGTAGGTGGCTCATGCTCCACATTTTGAGAAATGCTATTGTTAGGTCTGGTTTTTGTGTAAATGCTACACTAGTTTAACATCTGGAGCTCCAATTAATACATGGATACTAGGATTAATACATTAATACATGGAAAAGGGATCTGGATTGTAGAAGATAAACTGTAAGTCCTCAATTAAGTCAATTCAAAATATGACACAAAAGTAGGGTCACTAGAATCACAGACTCTTTGGAAATATCCTCCCCAAACCAGATGGTTTCAGTGTGACACATTTTACCACAGGACAATTATACAATGGGAATGCATATAGGTCTCAAATTTTGGAATTTTTTTTCTCTTCTTATATTCCTGATGATTAGAAAGTATTTTAAAAATATTTTCATAAATTAAAAAAAGATTACAAGTGCTGACTTTAAGGCATTTTGTAGGAAAGTGATTAATACATTCTGGCTGAGGGCTACGGCTATTTGTTCAAACTAATTATTCAAGTACTGCTTTCATGATTTTGGTTGTCATTTAATATTTTTTGAATTAACTCCTCTGTAAGTAAATTTTTGTTCATCCTGAGCAATACTGTGTGCAAAATCAAAGATTTCATGTGTTGTTGTATTTTTCTAATATTTTCCATAAGAGTTCAAATAAAGAACAATTATCTATGTTTCACCTAAAATCATCTCCTATACCAAAGTCATCCAGGCACACGTCCTCCCCTTCCCTTCTGGGAAACAGGATCCAAAAGATGCTTAATCTTATCCTCAAAAGGGTTTACATTCTACCTCGGGAGACCAAGCATTTGTCATGAGACAGTAAAGACAGGCCAGAAGGCCTGACCCTGTTGGTGAGAGAGAAAACTCGTCAAACCTTTTTAGAAAGTTAATCTGAAGCAATAACATAAGATTTACTTGTATATTTTGATCCAGTAATTCCACTTCTATCAACTAACTCTTGTCTATTCAGAAAATTGGAGGCACCGTCAAGGTCAAAATTAGAGGACTGATTATGACATTTCTACATCATTGAATGCTACACTTAAAGTCATTAAAGTCATCTCTAGGAAGTTTTTTTAAAATGCTTTGGGGAAATATTTGTAATATAATGCCAAGTGTGTAAAACAAGATACAGCATGATCTCAGCTATGTAAAATGGAATTTTTACAAGGTAGGGACTATAACAAAATTCAACAGTGTATTTTTTTTTTCTGAGTAGATTATGGATAATTTTTATTCTTTTGATGTATATGTTTCTATATTTTCTCAGATTTTATACTTATATACTAGATATATACAATATAATAACATCAAAATAATCATACTTTCATAATTAGGATATAAAGATTTTAAAAGAACAAATATACAAATACTTAACACAGGCTAATTAAACCCTTAAGCAGTTCAGGGAGGATTTCATAGGAAAAGTAAGGAGCTGTGACTGGAAAATGACAAAAAATTAAAAAGGAAACAAAAGTTGACTTGGTAAGTACCAGTACAGGTGTCTGCTTCAGTGGGGAGTCTTGATGAGCAGAAGAACGGAATGCGGTGACTCAGGATGTGAAAGCGCCCCTGGCTGGCCATGGCTACCCATGAGACCAACGTGGATCACCTTAGAACACAACTAGGTGCTCTATGAAGGTGGAAGGAAGCTGTTCTAGGGACACTGAGGGTTCAAGGACCAGGAGGAACCTAGACAATGAAGAGAAACACACATGGGCAGGCGGTGGGGTTAGGAAGAGTAGGCACACCTCTGAGGGCAGACGAATCAGGGAGGGGACAGGAGCCTCTCCGTGACATTTGTCTTGAGGTTTTGTCGGGGAAGGGAGGTCCCGGTTCACGGAGATGCCAGTGAGTGCAGACAGGGGACTGTGGGTTGCCATGTGGGTTTCCTGGTGCCTGCTCAGAGTGTCTAAAGGTTTGAGTGGCAAGTCCTTGCTTTCTCGGGAATCCAGGGGGTAAAGAGCTGCTGGGTCACAGCTGATGAAAACTAAGGAAAACCACCGTAACCTCAGACTGAGAGGTAGGCAGGACTAGTGCAGCAATGCGTAGGCAGGGGCAGACGGGGAGCACGACTTCATGAGCTGACCTGAGCCACGCAGGGTTCAATCACAGGAAAGTATGTTCGCAGGCTCATACACTCGTCTCTGAAACTGTGCACTTTTTTTTCTCTGAGCTTTCTAGTGTGGTGAATTGTTTTCCTGGTTCATGAAACCTACACTGCACAACAAGTATATGTGCCCAAAAGAACACTGGTGTAGACCCAGGGCCACTGTCTATGGTGACACCTGGCTTCCCTCGGTAATTGTCTCTGGGAGGAGGCAAAGGGGTAGGGGGCCCCTTCTGGGGCTGTCCTGGGCTCTAACCCTGTTTTGCCCTCCGGTCACTTTGGTGAGCCTCTTTTATTCACAGTCTCTCCCGACTACTCTGTTGTCTTTCTACCTTGAAACTCAATTATCTCCTGCTTTCCTTGCAGATCACTCACATCCTTTCCTCACCTTTGTCCTCATCTGTTTTCTCTGCCTAAACTGCCATCTTTCGGGTCCTGTCAGCAATGCCCACTCTCTTACCATGTCCATCTCTCACCCCTCTCTAGGACTTTTCTGTCCCTTTTACCTTTTGTTTTATATGGATGCCACCTTCTGCAACCTTCATTGTCAGGAACCTGAACTTAATATGTTTAAAAAATAAATTTCTCAGTCCTTCATTTCAATTTCCCATCCCCCCAGCTTCCCTCTTCTCCTTGTATCACTGCAGTTAACTTGACATTGAAAGTGGTGTCATATGTATACATATACACACACATATACATACATATATATATATACCTGCTGTATTACCCACTAGATAACTGCTTTTACTCTCTGTTTAGTCTCCACATTCATTTTGCCCACTTTTCACCCAAAGCACTTCTGCTTTGCCTTCTTATTTTCTAGTTTCCTATTTCATTTCACTCTTTCTTAACCTTGGGTCTTGAATCTTCTCTCTTTACACTTATTCCCTTGGTGATCTTATTCAATTTCAAATGTAACATTTCCAGCGCTGCACTCTAATCTCACACCCCAAAACTGCTCCTCCTGGAGCCTTTATAATATTAGAACATTTTAACTCCCTTCTTCTAGACCAAAACCCTTGGAATCATCCTTAATTATTCTCTTTCTTTCATACTGCACACCTAATCCCTTAGGAATCCTATTGCTTCCTCCTTCAAAATATACCCAGAATCCCAGAATCTGACCATTTTCTTTTCTACCCCCACTGCTGGTACCTTCGTCCAAGGCGCCATCATCTTTACCCTGGACTATCAGCTCCTTAATAGTTTCTCTGCTTCTATTCATCCCTCTTCAGTCTCCTCTTAACACAGCAGCAGCCTGATCCAGTCATTCATGTACTCGATACCCTTCAATGGCTTCTTATCTCGTACGTAGGAAGGACAAAGCCTCACAGTAGCCTATGAGACCCAACATACTCTGGCCCTGTCCTGTCTCTGACCTCAGCTTCTACTGTCCTTCCTCCTTTGCTTCCCACGCTGGCTTCCTCCAACCTTCCAGGAGTGCACCTGCCTCAGGGCTATGAAAGCACTGTCTCCTTTGCCTGGAGTGCTCCCAGCCAGGTACCTGCACAGGTTGCTTGCTCACCCATCTGGTTTTAACCCTACGCTCCTCCTCAATGAGGCCTTCCCTAGACATCAAAATCATAACAGCCTTGCTCTCTACCACAGCAAGCAATACTCCCTTTCCTGCTTTATTTTTATTCTTCATACCTTTCAGCATTGAATAGCATATATTGTTATTCATTTATGGTACATATTGGCCCTATCCCTCTTTTAGGAGGCAACCCCATGAGGATCCATTGCTGAATGTTCACAGTCTGGAGCAGTACCTGTCCCCAGGGGAGAGAAGTTAATAAGCATTTGAGGAAGGAATAAATGGATTCATTATCTTTTACTTCATGTGTTCTTCCTACTTCCTGTATTCCATACTTATCCTCCAGCTGTGGCTTTAATTCCAACCTGATCTTAATTGTTCCCTCTGCTTTCCTACTGCCCAGTCCTGTGACATTTATAGCCACTTCCTTCTCTTATTTATTTGGCTTTGTTTCTCTCCCTGGAAAACATGGGCCAGGTCCCAGGGTCACTTGGCTTTTCTCTTCCCATTCCACCATCTCCTCCTTGGCTTTTGCTCTACTCCAGCCAGGTTCAGTTGTCTTCTTCACTCAGTTTTTGAATTCTTGCTTTATTATTCCCAAATCAATGTAAGATGCTATTTGCTGTGCATAAGAAAATAGCTGGGGGTGTCGGTCACTTACTGCATAACCTAACATCGAAAGGGAAAGAGTAAAAATGAAGTATGCCCTGAGAAGCAAGGGCTGGAGAGGAGAGGACAGGAAAGCTTGTTTGGGACCCTGGGATAATTCTTTGGATATATTATTTATGAGGAGTCTTAGGTCCTTTACTTAACACTGCCCCTGAGAATTGTGCCAACTATTAAAATAGAAATTTAGCTTTTAGTAAAATTAGATCACTAATTGTAAAATATCAGTGATGATTTCATGAAAAGCTATGGTTTAACAAGCAGTCTTTAGGAACATATTTATTCAACTTCTTATTCAGTGTCTCAGCTGGAGATTCACATTATTGATCATGTGGATAACATATCATGCTTATAATCCACAAATGACTGGCAAGTGGAATAGCATCTAATACAGGCAAACAGTTACCCAGTGATGAATGTCCTCTCATTGATGAAGATCCAAGAGCACTGCTGAGCCATCATGGTCATCTTTTTCCCCTTTCTGAGATCACCTGAGGATGCCCTAAAACATTAGCATAAAGTTAATGGTATGTTCCTATGACACATTCATAAATTAGTTCTGACTTAAATAGGTGTTTGTGTGTGTGTGTGTGTCCCTAGTGTGCAAAAGTATTTTGGGTGAGTTTTTGAATAGTGTTTCATGTATGGGCATGAAGGTTGGGTTGGGGAAGGATGGAAAAAGAAGGATATTATTTTACCATATGCCATATGGATACATTCTGTGTGTGAATCATTTTAGAGATATTATCTCATTTAATCCCAGTGAGATATGTGTGTTATCACCTCTTTTTCAAATACTAAGTAGTGGAACAGATAATTCGATGCAAGCAAGGTCTTCAAGGCCTCTACTTTTTTCTTTTCACCAACATGTATTTTTTTTTACAGTTTGTAAAAGGTTATACAGATTAAAATATTTTTATTTTCTATAAATTGGCCCATTCTAATATTCTTTTCAAAGATTTTTTTTCTATGTCTAAGGGAATTAATATTGAGGATAAGGGACATGTTCTCTAAAACTGTCAATTGTAAGAAAATAATAGCTCAGAGTTTTAACTTTAACTCACTTTGGGGGAGTTTCTAAATGGCATTTTCTAAACCTCCTTTCCATGATTGTTCACAAAATAATTTGTTTTGGGAACAAATAATAATGTGCTGTTTCTTTGCCTCACCTCTTACCCCTTATATGGGTTTAATATATTTGGGCATTTTCCTCTGTTCTTTTTACTTAATACGTGCTTTTGGGAAAAATCCATTTTATTTCTCTTGATATGTTTTCCCATTTTAAATTGAAAACTATATTCTTCGTATTATTTAGAGAAAATAAGGAAGAGGAGCATATCATTTAATTTTGACAATACCTAAAGATATATGATAAAGGGGGCATGTGAAGAAATACTAAATGAAGAAATACAAAAATACATAATTTGATATACAGTCTTCTCCTTGGTAATCAATTTGAGAGATTGGTATTCCTGGGGTAGTGAGATGAGAGAGAAAGACAGACAGCAGTAGAGCAATATTTCTAAGAAAGTACAATATAAACCATGTTGGCACCTGATAAAAACTAACGATTTGTAAGTTTATAAGAGAAATCTTGGATCAAAGTAGTGCTGATAATCACTTTACAATTGATGGCTGTATTAGTTATGCTCCCAGTAATGACTGTTTCTAGTATGTTTAAATTTGCCGTAACTCCTGTTATAAAGAATCCCATTTCTGAATTTTTAGTTACCATTTGATTTGGAATAAACTCTAAGGATTTTCTTCATTTTTCAATTTATCCACAGTTCTAATAACTGCTAGGTTTTAGTGATTTATGTGATCCTCCTGTCCCATTGCTCTAGAAATGCACAGATGTTCTTGGGGTTTTGAAGCTGCTATTTCCTAATGCAGAGCTTGCTTTTTATTGAGAAATATAAAATGGTAAAAGAGAAGCCACATGAGGAATTCTGCCTGGCTGGAATAATGTTTCTGAAACCTTGCTGGCTTTATATTTTATAGTAGTATTTCCATAAATTTATGAAAAATAATTCTGATGTTTTGTTGATACCACAGTTTTAAATAAAATTTCTAGAGACTTGTGGGAAAAAAAATCCAGTTTTAAACTACTGTATACTTAGCAGCTCAGTGTTATTTTCTTTAAGAAGATATTACATTCCCAAAGGTTTCCAGGATCCCCAAAGAATCGTTTTGCAGTCACTGAAATTTTTTTTGGTAACATAGCTAAACTAGCGAAGAAAGCCTAGGACACTGTTTGGAGATGTGAAGAAGACAGGAGAATGTACTACATAACCTGAAAAACTACAGAATCAGTAGCCCAAGGCAAGGAAGGATTGGCCAGTTTGGTAAGTATGTTTTTGGATTATTTCTGGAGTCCTCTTGTATGATTCTGTGCAAGGAACATATTCCTTCTATGACAGCACCTCAGTTACAACTGGCTGAAACTTGCGTCAGTTCTGCAACACAATTTTAAATTTCCAGGCAGTTAAAATCAAGCTCTGACTCACAGAGTTGATTAAGTGTGATGTAACCTCCTTCAAGTCTCCTTCAGGCTCTAGAAACTATGGTCAGACATGAATAATATCTTCCTTTATGTCTTCATATAAATGGCATGAGGTTGTGACCAGAGATTTTAAGTATAATATTTTCTAGTCATTTCATTTTGAAAAAAAAGTGAAATATTTGATTACCATTGCTTCAAGCCTATAGAATCATAGGGGATATAGCCAGAAAAGAAAAGTAGGCTAGAAAGAAAAGTGGAATTTTTTATTTTGAAAAAGAGGGAAACGGACTTCCTCCTTTTCCTTCCAAATCAGGTTATTTTGGTTGGGTGAGGTGTGTGGAGGATATTTCATGTCCTCTTTCTCCAAGAGAATATCAGTACTCCCCACCTCCACCAAAAAAAAGGAGAAAAGGAAAAAATGAAAAGAAAAGTTATTCTTACAAAATCCCTGATGCATTATTCCTTATAGGCCATTGTTAGTTTGAAGTTCATAATCTATTTGAAAGTATATCTCTCCAGGCACATTGTAACAGTCTCTAAGCTGAATGCTTGACTAGTTTTCTTTTACACTATTTATGCCTTTTATGCCATACTGACATTCACACCATCATCTTGCTCACAAACCATCCTGAGATCTCATTCCTAGCAAAAACAGCCCAAGTCAGGCTCTCAACAATTCCACCCAAACCTACCTTTTCAAACTCAAAATTATTTGTTTAACACTAGGCCTTCCTGGTCTCAGGGAAACGTATACCACTGAGTCTCTTCTTAATACTTCCCTTACATATGAGGACTCTGCCACCACAGGTCCAGATTTCTGCTTCCTTCTAGTCCCTGCAGAGCAGGACCTTATCAAGTCTCCCCATAGCCTGTTAGTGACACTGCTATGATGCCACTTTCTGCTTTGCACCTGTGTGTCATTATTGCCTTATATCCTTTTCTACTCATATCCTCTTGCTCAAAGGATGATGCTCCTCTAGTTGGGAATGCCATCCTCTTTGATGGCCCATCACTGGGAGGGGGTCTCATGGAAGACTCATGCCAGAAGGAACAGCAGCTTAGCCAACAAGGCAAGTTAAGTCTGTAGGTCATCAGTTCCATGGGTATTTCAGGCTGCCTCTGAGCAATGACACAGCGTGCTCTATGAGCCCAGCAGATCCCAGTTACTCATTGACAGGAGTCAGTCTGGGCTGTTCTGTCACATAGCCTTTACTCTTGCTTCTAAAAATCAGAGTTCTGCCTGTAGCTTTTGTCATTCTAATCACCCACAAAAAGGGTTATTGATGCCACCCAATGAGATTCCCCTCTCTGTCCAAACACCACCTTCTCCCTCCTGGATTCAGATTATTACATCTATTCTTTTAATTTTCCTAGTACCTCTCCTCCCACATTCCAATGGCCTATTTCTCACCAAATGGTTCATTGCTTCTCATTTTCTCTACCTTTCAGCAGCATTTGATAGGTTGATTGTTTCTTCCTTTTGAAACACTTTTTTTTTCCTTGAGGCTTTTAAGACGAAACCACAACAACCTTGCCTTATTTTCTTGCCATCTCACAGGCCTCAACATATATTAATATCCTCTACTGATTCCACTCATAATCAGGAAATGCTGGCTGTTCCAGTAGTTTGTCCTCAGCCATCCTCTCTTTGCTATCTATACTTCCTTCCATGGATGCCAATCCATTCCAGCAGAGCCCCAGACTATCCTACTACCTACTTAATCTCTACTTGGAAGGCTAATAGGCATCTCAAAGTCAACATAGTCAAAACAGAACCACTGACTTTCTCCCATACTCCAGAATTCCCTCCTCCATAATTCTTTTCCATCTACCCAATTAGGTACCAAAAATAAGACTCAGTCTTCAATCTGAAAGTAAGTTGTATTGATGGTATCCAAAACATATAACCTGAACTCAAAAGCTTCTATTTCCAATGTTACCACTTTGAGCCAAGCCACTGTCTCCTTTTTTCTGGATTACAGCATCAGTTTCATGACTGGCTTCCCTACATCCAGAGTGTAACCAGAATCCACATTCTCTAGAATGATAATTTAAAGATCAAATCAGATTTTGCCAATCCATGATTAAACCTTGAAAAGACTTCCAAGAATGAACCAGAATAAAATGTATCCTCCTTATGATTACCCAGAGGTCCTATCGATCTCTTCAGTATTTACTCCTTTCATTATTTTCCTCACTAAGTACACTTCACCCACACTGGCCTTATTTCTGGTTTTCAGAATATAATCGTATTCTGTATTGTAAGAATACAATAACTGAAATGAGAAATACAAGGGAGGGAGTGAATAGTAGACTACCAGAAGTAGAGGAAACAATCAGTGAGATGGAAAATAGAGAACAGGAAAACAACCAAGCTGAGGAACAGAAAGAAAAAAGAATTTCAAAAAATAAGAAGAAGCTAAGTGAGCTGTGTGACAACTACAGACAAAACAATATTTACACAATAGTGGTACCAGAAGGAGAAGAGAGAGACAAAGTAGTAGAAAGTCTCTTTGAAGAACTAATAGCTAAAAAATTCCCCAATCTGGGGAGGGAAACAGAAACCCAGGTCCCGGCAGTGCAGAGAGCACCTAACAAAAGGAATCCCAGGAAGACAATGCCAAGACATACAGTAATTAAAATGGCAAAGAGTAAAGATAAAGAGAGAATCTTAAAAGCAACAAGAGAGGCAGACAGTTACATATAAGGGAAACTCCAAAAGTCTATCAGCAGATTTCCCAGAAGAAACTTTATAGGCCAGATGAGAAGCATGAAATAGTTAATATATTGAAAGGGAAGAACCTACAACCCAGCAAGGTTATCACTCAGAATTTAAGGAGAGAGTAAAAATTTATCAGATAAACAAAGTTCACAAGAATGCACCACCACTAAACTGGTGTTACAGGATATTTTAAAGGAATTTGGTAGATGGAAACATTTCTTAAGCCTAAATATCTTTCATCATTGAAAATAAACCTATAGTAAAGGTAGTACACCAATTGCTTATTAAGCAAATACGAAGTTAAAAAAAACCCACAAAAGAAGTAAAATCAACTATACAGAAAATCAGTCAAGGAATACGTAAAAGATGTAGATTATGACTTCTTATACACAAAGTGTGAAAGAGGAAGAAGAATAAGAAAGCAGTACTTTTAGGCTGTGTTTGAAATAGAGCAACCATCAACTTTTTATAAACTGTTATACATCTAGGAAACTATGAACTTTATGGTAACCACAACCATAAAGCCTATAACAGGTACACAAAATAGTTAAAAAATGAAAAAAAAAATCCAAACATAACACTAAAGAAAACCATCAAATAATGAGAAGAGTATAGAGGAAGAAAGGCACAGAGAGGAATTACAAAAACAACCAGAAAACAATTAATAAAATGGCAATAAATACATACCCATCAGTAACTTCCTTAAATGTAAAAGGCCTAAATAAACCAATCAAAACACATAGGTGGCAGAAGAGACAAATAAACAAGCCCCATCTATATTCTGTCTACAAGAGATTCATTTCAATCTAAGGACGGAAAGTGAAAGGATGGAAAAACATATTTCATGCAAATAAAAGGGAGAAAAAAGCAGGAGCAGCAGAATTTGTATCAGACAAAACAGACTTTGAAACAAAGAAAACAAAAGAGACAAAGAAGGACATTGCATAATGATAAAGGGGTCAGTCCAACAAGAAGATACAACAATTGTAAATATCTATATACCCAACATAGGAGCTGCTAAATATTTCAAACAAATACTAACAGAATTAAAAGGGGAAACAGCAAAACAATCATATTAGGAGATTTTAACACCCCACTAACATTAATGGACAGATCATCCAGACAGAAAATAAATAAGGAAACAAAGGCACTGAAGTCACATTAGACCAGATGGATTTAACAGATATAAACAGAACGTTCCACCCAAAGCAGCAGGATATACATTTTTCTCAAGTGCACATGGAACATTCTCCAGAATAGATCACATATTAGGACACAAAAAGTGCCTCAATGAAATCCAAAAGACTGAAATTGTATCTAACATCTTTTCAGATCACAATAATATGAAACTAGAAATAAATTATACCTGATGAACACAGACGCAAAAATCCTCAATACAATATTAGCAAACCGAATGCAAAGCTCCATCAAAAGGATCATTCATCATAACTAAATGAGATTTACTTCAGAGATGCAAGGATGGCACAATATTTGTTAATAAATCAATGTGATAATACCACATTAATAAAAGAAAGGATAAAAACCATACGGTCATCTCTATAGGTGCTCAATAAGCATCTGACAAAATTCAACATCCATTCATGATAAAAAACCTCGATAAAATATATTTCAACATAATAAAGGCCATATACTCAAATCTACAGCTAACATCATACTCAAAGGCAAAAAGCTAGAAGTTTTTCCTGTAAGATCAGGAACAAGACAAGGATGCCCACTCCTACCACTTTTATTCAACATAGCACTGCAAATGACATGATATGTTTCTATATACTATATATAGAAAACCCTAATGACTTCACCAAAAAATACAGCACTAATAACTGGATTCAGCAAAGTTGCAGGTTACAAAATAAATACACAGAAATCTGTTGCATTCCATATATTAACAATGAACTAGTAGAGAAATCAGGAAAACAACTCCGTTTACAATTCCATCAAAAGGAATAAAATATCTAGGAATAAACCTAACCTAGAAGGTGAAAGACCTGTATTCTGAAAACTATAAGACATTGATGAAAGAAATTGAAGGAAGCATAAATGGAAAGCTATCCCATGCTTATGGATAGGAAGAATAGCCATCCTGCTCAAAGCAATTTACAGATGCAGTGCAATCCCTATCAAAATACCAATGATCATAGCAATTTAAACACTGGCAGGGTCCTTGTGAATATCTTCTAAATTATAAAGACTTGGCAGATTTCATGGTCTAAGCTAGTTTCCTTAAAAGGCTTAAGAGGAGGATAATAGGGGCCATGATTAGCAGAGATGGAGAGAATTTATGAGAAAAGGAAAATTATAGGTCTAGGAGCTAAAGGTTTGCTTTGGACGTTCACAACCATTTGGTAGAACATAATAAACTATAACTTGAGGAGGAAGGTAGTTGTTACAAATCTATGTACTTTACTGGGAGGGTGAATCATAGAGGGCTCTTAGGTCCTGGGGCTAGAGCTTATTTATTTAGATTGTATATCAAATAAGATTACTTATTTAATAAGTTTGGTCATTTATTTTTTTATTTTGTCCAGCAGAATGGAGCCCCGGATAGGGAATTTAGATAACAATTAAATCCTGGAGAAACAAATAGTCCCGGAAGTATGTAGGTGGCTCACCTGGGGAGGGAGGAGACGAGGAAGGCAGGGTCTGTCGGATCAGGCAGGAGATAGCAGGATCCTGAGAAGGCAGAGTCAGACCAACAGTGTGAGGACGACTCTGCGACCTGAGAACACCAGAAAGCATTCGCGGTTCGCCTACCCCTGCTCTGTACCCTGCCTCAGTGTGGGCTTGCTGGGACTGGCCAGTCACCAAAAGGAGGCCAGAAGCTAGGAGGTGAATCCAAGCCCCAATTAACTCAAATGGACCAGTCATTTAGAGTTTCTGGTGTCAAAGGATGGATTAAGTAAATGGCTACTTGTTTAAAAGTGGAAAATTTGGCTATCTCCTTTGTATAGTCAACATTTATTTCATGAATTCCTTCTTTGGGCCGGCTCCTATGTTAACCTACATAAAAGAAGTATAGCCTCTATCTAAAGTGGCAACCCCTTATTCCTGAGGCCAGTGGGATGTCAAAATGGTCATAATTCTACAATGAGCTAAAAAAAAAAATACATGTGCTAATTTCCCTAGAGTCCCCAGCCAAAGAGAATTTCTCTTGCCTCTAAACTTTCACAGCAAATTATTTACAGCTTTTTAATTACTAACTGCTTTCTTTAACTATACTTTATTTTACTTAATTTGACTATTAGTTCCTTTAGAACAGGGTGATTGTGTACTTCATTTTTGTATCTCCTAGAGTGTTTATATGCAAGTACATAGATGAAACAGTTAGAAGATGATGAATATATTTAATATGTGGGAGGTATCTTAAAATGTGAATAGTAAAATGAAAGCTATGAAATTATGAGTGATCATATTTTCTTTTTGATTTCACACACTTTCTAAATCATATATAAGGAACACACCTTACACAATATACACCATAAAAGTTACTAAAAAAAAAAAAGAACAGAAAGTAGCACATTCATATGGCAAGTGCGTATTTCAATCATGAAGTAAGATTAAATTAAGGGCTACCCATGGAGGGTTTTTTTTGTTTTTTTTAAATTTTAATTACTGTTTTGGTCTGAAGAGGCAATGGAAAGTCACAAGTATGTATTCAGTCCCAAATTAAGCTGTTTATTCTAAGCTCTGACCTGGAACCTTGAAGTTGAAAAGAGCAGATCTATATACAACTATATCACTTCAAGGAAATAAGAACATTTGTAGTTCTATCCATTATTCAATGGGGCTAACTGTTCACTGTTTAGATATATGCCTATTAAGAAATATAAAATCAAATAACTTGGTTTCAGAAGTTCTAGAAATATCTGTTCAGCATGAAGGTATATTTTCTCTTTGAAAACTGCTTAGTAAACATTGGTATGATAATTCTTTTACATGGATTGGATTCTGTTATAAGATTTCAGCCAAACGACCCTAAATGTAATCAAGCCCCAGAGGGCAACAACATAGTAAAATTCAGTTTGGTTGCCTTTAGAATTCAATCCATAATCCTCCAGTCAATATCCATTTATATCTATATTGGAGAATTTCAAGTCTACAGTTTGAAAAAAGAATGTATTAAAACAACGATAATATTAGGCTAGGATCAACTGCCAACTATTTAAGTGTTTTATATTAATTAAAAAAAAGATAAAATGTCATCAACGTAAATGCCTTGCTAGTTGCAGTTGCAAAGTTTGTCCCTTCCTCAGAGTTATCAACATTAGTAAAACTAATACTAACATAAACAAAAGTGACTTTTAAAGAAAATTTCACAAAGTAAGGTCATTTTCCTTTCATTTATGTTCAAGAAGTAAAAACCAACAAAGCAGTTACTCTTCTTTTGTGTTTCTTACCCATAAACACAAATAAAATCTATGTCACTTCAATACAAATGATACAATATGCATTGCAATATAAAGACACAGACCATATGGTCTAATTTCATCAAAGTTATCCAAGGGCAATCTCTTTAAAAACTCAAATGTTATGGGGGTTCCACAATATGGAACTGTGTGTAACTCTCCTACTATAGAATTATGTTTTCTTTCTAGAAATAGAGTAACATAATTGTGACTTTTCTAAAGTGAAACTGATTGAGCAGCAAATAAGTTTGAATTTGGCACCATGTAAGCTGTTTGAAAAGTGGCAAGAATCTAGGTTATTCATTGCTATTCATAGAGTAATGCTTTCCCCACTTGCCATCTGCTCACTTGTCCTGGACCCACTTTCTGGAAACCAGTTCAGCTCTAGTATCCTCATAGTATCTGGTCTCCCCAGTTTAGTTTACCCTCCCTGGTGTAGCAAAACTGCTTATTTTTTAGTGCTAACTGGAGGTACCGTTTATAGAATGCTTGCTAAGTGTTTTCCCATCAAAGACCTATGTGATGCTTGCTTTATAGACAGACAAACTGACGCTTGAATAGGTTAACCTGGTAAGGGACAAGAAGTGGCAAAGCCAGGGTTTGAATGTATGGCTTTCCTGCTTCAGAATTTGTATCCTTAACACTTGGATTCCCATTTTATTATCTCTGGTTATTCTTTTATTGTTTTGTGAAGTCTTAAATATTAGAAATCCTTTTCAATTTTTTTTTGGGGGGGGTGTTCCTGTCACTTTGTGGAAACAAGTTTAACTGAACCCTCAATTAAAAAGAACTTTCAAGTCTGTTTATTCAATACAAGTGTAACCATACGAGTGCTCAGAGAAAGGGGATGTCATGCAGGGGTCTAATATCCTGAGGGTGGAACAATTCCAGGTAAAGTGCTCCTTGAGTCATTTCCCTTGAGGAAAGGAAGGAGGGGCTCAGGGGTCACGCTCACTTCCAGGCCCTCTCCCCATCCCCCTCTTTCTTTTCCCCTCTCCCCACAGTTAACCTTGGTCAGGAAAAAGTACTCTGAAAATAATCCAAAGGAAAAGGCTCGTCCAGGTTCCGGGCTGCTCTGATACGCGCATGCTCAGCCTGGCTGCCTATGAATCCTGCTTTCTCTTAACTTGCCCTCAACTTGACTCCAGGGAGGGGATGAGGAGGGTTCTTTTCCCTACCCCATTCTGCAGCTGTTCTTCATACTGTGAGCCCGAGGATCTTTTTACCTTAGATGTAGGGATGGACTTGTTCCGGAGAATTTGCTCCCCTGGTCGGTCACAAACTCTGGTTTCAGAAAGTCAGGGCTCGCTCACCTGTGCGGAGGCGGGAGCCAGGTGCGGAGGAGCGGCAGGCAGGTACGGCTCTTTGCTGGGCGCTGCCGGGCTCAGCGCGCGGCAGGCCCCGCCTCAGGATCATCAAGCCCCAGGCGCAGTTAATTATTAGTCCTTTTTGCCACAGCAGCGAAGTGTTAGAAACCTGAGACACTCCCTGTGCCTCAGAGCATGTTGGGAGTGTTTGCTTTCTTAGGAGCAGCAGATAGGAGCGCTCCTTTGCTCCTTGACACATCCTGAGAAGTGACCTGACATTAACCACTGGGCTGGACACATTCTGCTCTCTGCTCTCTGATCTATCCGGATTATAAAGGTCCCTCAGAAATGATGCCACTAGGACTGAATGCCATTGTTTACATGTTTTTCCTTTTACAGTTTTCTCTTTGAATAAGAAATGTCTTAATTTTCTTTTCCTGTTCTTCTGCCACCTCCTTTCTCTACCAGCACCCCTTCACCTCCGGGCTCACTAGAACTAAAGATAAAATGTCATCAACGTAAATGCCTTGCTAGTTGCAGTTGCAAAGTTTGTCCCTTCCTCAGAGTTATCAACATTAGTAAAACTAATACTAACATAAACAAAAGTGACTTTTAAAGAAAATTTCACGAAGTAAGGTCATTTTCCTTTCATTTATGTTCAAGAAGTAAAAACCAACAAAGCAGTTACTCTTCTTTTGTGTTTCTTACCCATAAACACAAATAAAATCTATGTCACTTCAATACAAATGATACAATATGCATTGCAATATAAAGACACAGACCATATGGTCTAATTTCATCAAAGTTATCCAAGGGCAATCTCTTTAAAAACTCAAATGTTATGGGGGTTCCACAATATGGAACTGTGTGTAACTCTCCTACTATAGAATTATGTTTTCTTTCTAGAAATAGAGTAACATAATTGTGACTTTTCTAAAGTGAAACTGATTGAGCAGCAAATAAGTTTGAATTTGGCACCATGTAAGCTGTTTGAAAAGTGGCAAGAATCTAGGTTATTCATTGCTATTCATAGAGTAATGCTTTCCCCACTTGCCATCTGCTCACTTGTCCTGGACCCACTTTCTGGAAACCAGTTCAGCTCTAGTATCCTCATAGTATCTGGTCTCCCCAGTTTAGTTTACCCTCCCTGGTGTAGCAAAACTGCTTATTTTTTAGTGCTAACTGGAGGTACCGTTTATAGAATGCTTGCTAAGTGTTTTCCCATCAAAGGCCTATGTGATGCTTGCTTTATAGACAGACAAACTGACGCTTGAATAGGTTAACCTGGTAAGGGACAAGAAGTGGCAAAGCCAGGGTTTGAATGTATGGCTTTCCTGCTTCAGAATTTGTATCCTTAACACTTGGATTCCCATTTTATTATCTCTGGTTATTCTTTTATTGTTTTGTGAAGTCTTAAATATTAGAAATCCTTTTCAATTTTTTTTTTGGGCGGGGGGTGTTCCTGTCACTTTGTGGAAACAAGTTTAACTGAACCCTCAATTAAAAAGAACTTTCAAGTCTGTTTATTCAATACAAGTGTAACCATACGAGTGCTCAGAGAAAGGGGATGTCATGCAGGGGTCTAATATCCTTCTGAGGGTGGAACAATTCCAGGTAAAGTGCTCCTTGAGTCATTTCCCTTGAGGAAAGGAAGGAGGGGCTCAGGGGTCACGCTCACTTCCAGGCCCTCTCCCCATCCCCCTCTTTCTTTTCCCCTCTCCCCACAGTTAACCTTGGTCAGGAAAAGTACTCTGAAAATAATCCAAAGGAAAAGGCTCGTCCAGGTTCCGGGCTGCTCTGATACGCGCATGCTCAGCCTGGCTGCCTATGAATCCTGCTTTCTCTTAACTTGCCCTCAACTTGACTCCAGGGAGGGGATGAGGAGGGTTCTTTTCCCTACCCCATTCTGCAGCTGTTCTTCATACTGTGAGCCCGAGGATCTTTTTACCTTAGATGTAGGGATGGACTTGTTCCGGAGAATTTGCTCCCCTGGTCGGTCACAAACTCTGGTTTCAGAAAGTCAGGGCTCGCTCACCTGTGCGGAGGCGGGAGCCAGG